CTGTCCTGGAAGGCCAACAAGGTATTCCTCAATGTCTGACCTTAGTGCTTTTCCATGCAGCCTTTCCATGTGGCTAGCTGGGCTTACTCCCAGTATGGTGGTCTCAGGGTAGACTTTCATGATGGAAGAAGTGAAAGCTGATGGTTGTCTTTAAGGTTAGACTTGGAACTAGCACATTGTCATTTCTGCTGTATTCTCTTGGTCAAAGCAAGTCACAAGTGGAGTGGTCAGATAAAATACACAATGTCTAGTTAAATCTCAAGTTCAGATAAATAATAATTTTTGGCATGCATATAATATACAATATTTGAAACATACTTATGCCAAAAAGTTATTTACTATCTAAAACTCAAATATAACTGGATCTTCTGTAAATTCATTTAGTAAATCTAACCATCCTAGTCATAAGACTAGTCCATATTCAAGGGGAGGAAAACAGATCCCCCTACTTGAGGGAAGGAGCAGCATGTGAATTCAGAGAGGGAAAGACTTAATAATGGCCATTCTTGGAGACTATACCTAAAGGGTCTATGAAAGACTTCCTGAATTGTGGATACAATATAGTACAGCAGTTAAGCCTGGGTACTCCAGAGTCTGGCTTTCAATCTTGGCTCTGCTACTTGATAATTATGTCATCTCAGGCAAGTTATGTCATGCTTCTGTGACTTAGTTTTTTCATCTTAAAAGTGGGGATATGAACAGTTTGTGTCTCATGGAGATGGTTAGAGGGATTTATGAGAAGGTGAAAGTAAAGTGCTTGCCATGTAAGAAGTATTTGTTAAAGGTTAGTTATTATTTAGGCAGGATTTCAAGTGAAGATCTGGCTAATGTTCCAGTCCTATCTAGTCAGAGAGCAAAGGACTAAAAGGGCCTCGTGGTTCCAACTCTTGGCATTGCTCAGAGGATCATGCCTAAGATAAGCACCATTTCTTTTTTTTTCCCTCTTTTTTTAAATTATATTTTAAGTTCTGGGGTATTTGTGCAGATTGTGCAGGATTGTTACGTAGGTATACATGTGCCATGGCGGTTTGCTGCACCCATCCCCCTATCATCTACATTAGGTATTTCTCCTAATATTATCCCTTCCCAACCACCCCCCCCCACACACCCTGCTATGCCTCCCTAGCCCTCATCAACTCCCCAACAGGCCCTGGTGTGTGATGTTCCCCTCTCTGTGTCCATGTGTTCTCATTGTTCAACACCCACTTATGAGTGAGAACATGCGGTGTTTGTTTTCTGTTCTTGTGTCAGTTTGCTGAGAATGATGGTTTCCAGCTGAAGAGCACCATTTCTAATCACATCCTTGTATTGGCAGGGTTGCACCTTGGCACTTTCCTTAGTCTTACCGTGAAAACAAGCTAACACACACATTATTGACATGCCTAAATTGGGAAATCCACCCAAGTAACAGAATAGTAATTCAGCCGTATTACTCTCCCAAGGTTTTAAACATGCTGGGACCTGTGATCTGAGATTAATGTAGCACAGAGGACACGGCCTCAGGAAGAAACAAAGGAAAAATGCAGAGTTTGCATGAAGCCAATACTGGGTTAAAGAAGCTGAGGCTGAGAAATTTGGGCGTTTAGGAAAAGTACTAGCATGATCCTGCTAGCCTGTGCTTGTTGTAAAATGAAGATCTCTTCAGATTCCTTGAAATATGGGAACAATTTAAACAGTGATTTCTGCTCTGGTGAGAGCACGAAAAAGCAGCTAACTTCATCCCTTTTGCCTTTTTCACATTCATGGGCCGCTCTCAGCCCCATGGCTAAGAAGTGATTTGTGAGCTGGTGTCTACCAGAGATCACTGATGTCTGGTAAACTGAGAGTGTTTAGCAAGTGTGTGAATTAGATTTAATCATGGAATGTGATGATCACACTGAGCAAAAATGTCTGCTTGACAGAAATTGATGCTGGGAGCTTGAGAATGGCTTCTCCTAGGACCTCTTCTGTGAGGACCTTGCCTATGGGGATCCAAGGCCAGTCTGCACATTTAGACAGACTATCTGAGCACAATTCTGGTGAACTGGAGACATCAGAAGAGGAAGAGTCATGAAGGCAAAGATGCCAGAGTGGGAACTCCTGAGAAAATGTGGAAGGATCTCCATTTGCCCATAGATCTTAGTCTTTCTCTGGTCTTCCTTCTTGCTTTAATCTTTCTAGGACACCATTTGAGAGCCCCCCAGCCTTGCTCACAGTATTTGTTTGCTGATACTTTGTGTGTACAGTGTGATTAACGTCATTTTTTTTTTTTTTTTTTTTTTTTTTTTACAAAGAATTGTATTTCCAAGCTTAAAAGCACAAGTGAGTAGAATAGCAAACTATGCTGTTGGAAACAAAAATAATACTGGGGAGAAGCTGCAGAGCTCAGACCCTGAGGTTGGATCTCAGATGTATCGTTCATCTGGCAGCAGTTCATAGATCTGCAGACATAGCGCTTTCTCATAATAACAGCTCAGGAGGGCTGGCCTCGAAACCTCAGCCTCTTAGAATGACAGCAAACATCATACTCTATAAGCAGCTGGGAGAGAAGAATGGGGCTCTGAGCATGACCAATGCCCCTTCCCTGGAGCATATCCATCTTTGAGGAGCATATCCACATACTGCCTGTGTTTTGGGTTCGTTGTCCATCTCTCGCAGTCTCTTGGGGCTGGTGGCCAGTTTCCCTGAGGTCCCGGAGAGGGTAGGGATGAAGTGGATTGTGACACTCTGGGGAGGTAGACCAAAGTTCAGTACCCTGACCTGTGGAGGAGGCAGGATGACCACCTTCCTCGCAGTGTCAAGGAATCTTCTAGAAGGTGTCATGCCCTTCCTGTGATACCAGTGGCCTCAGACCAGCTTCAACTGGAGATGTGTTCAGGCTGTCTTGGAATGATTTCTCCAAGGGAAGGCCTCTAGCTCACCTATGCTTGGTTCCTTCCATCCTGTACTGCTTAGTTCCCATATGAGTCAGTGGGGGTTGGCATATGTGTGATTACTCTAGGGACAACCCTGGGAGTTGATGACTGGTGGCCCAGAGTTGTCTCTGGAGGTGATGCCTGAAGAGACATCCCACTTGGTGAGTGACAGCTGTCAGCCACTGGAGAGCTTGAGTTCTCCACTAAAGATCCTAATGCCAGGGCTGACCCCTCTCATCCCAAAGTCCTCTAGCATTGGTATAAATGAATTTGAGACCCTTGAGAAAAAGATAAATATCCAGGTATCCAAAGCGACATTTTCCCCTTTTCTGTCTAAATAAAACAAGTAATTTTAGAGATCATGTCTCTATCCCACATAGGGAACACCTGAGATCCAGGATGGTTAACTAATTTTTCTCAGGTGTTGGAGCCAGCAGTCATCGTAACAATAAACATGCATTTAATACTGACCGTTTGACAGCCCTGCACTCTGTTGTAGCCCAGTGCTTTGGTGGTCAGTCCAGGACCATAAACTGGTCTTTTATCTGCAACTAGATCTGCCCCTGCTCCCTCCCTGCAGCCCCACTTTCACCAGATGGGAATTTTCTGATCTTCCGGTACTGGGTGGGCTCTAGGCGATCTAAGACATAGTGTACATACAGATTTGATTTAAATGCTCTTGAGATGAGTAACACTTGATTTAATCTCTCATCTGCTGACTCTTACCAGGTTCTGTGGAAGACGGTTTTAGGTGAAGGGAGACAGGTGGAAAGAACTGGCCCCATTTGGAGATGGCGGGTGTGTGGGGCCAAAGGAGTTGGATGTCTTGTCTGTCTGGGCAAACTTAGCTGCTCCTGCCCATACTCCTGCCTTCTCTACCTTCCATTCTTTTTAGGCCACTCACTTGTCTATTTCTGGGAATTCTGTTGCCTCCTTAGTCTCTGACTGCATTGCCCAGGGTCATGGGGTGGTTGGTACATAGGAATGGGTGAGGTTAAGAAGCAAAGCCTGCATTCACCAGGGTGATGAAAGAGGGGTTTGCACCCTTTTCTCTGTTCCTTGGTCCTTTCTGTCTCTTTGGCCCTAAGGGAATTTATTATTCAAAGGGAAAATCTCTGCTAAGCAAATGGCTTCTTTCCATGATGAGATTGCAATCTGTCAACTCCTGAGTCTGGGACAGAGTGTTAGGGTGGTGATGGTGATGACAGAGGACTGCTTGAAGTCCACTATATATTTAGTATGTTAAGAAAAAACTACCTAAAATCTGTAAATAAGGCCAGGAGTTAATTCCAGTTTCATTGTGAAGCATTGATCAACAAATTCAGCCATGTATTACTTAATTTTCTAAAGAAGTGTTTTATTTTGACATCTATGAGCAATGAAGAGGTACGACTCTGTAGAATTACACATGAAGGCAGAGGTTTTGCCCCATAAAGATGCAATTACATCTTTGTCTTCTTCACGGGCTCAAGCCCAGCTGTGCTGGCTCACCCAACCTGCCAAAACCTCCCTTTTTTCCTCCCCTCTGGACCCTTGACAGTAAAAATTTTATTATTTCACACTTCTCCTTTATACCAACCGCATTCCTAGCCCCATGCTTTCTCTTCTCACCAGGTGGTTCATAAGTTAAAGTAATTAAGTGAATTTAGGAACTCGGAGTTAAAGGGAACCAGGTAAAACACAAGCCATCTATATCCTACCTACTGCTACTTCAGACTCCAGGCAGGTTGTCAGGGATGCGGGGATTCTGCTACACACACACACAATGGAATTCAAGCCCATTTTATTTGAACCTCAAAAAGATATTTAACCTCAGTTAACCTTTTAGTTTCATGATAAATCCCACCTCCTTCCCTTAAAATTAGTAAGACTGATTTCTGTTATAATAGAAGAGGGTTTGTTTAAAACCATAAAGGTAATTTGATTTTGATTAAACAGAGGTTTGCAGCATTCTCCTTGCTCCTGGGGTTGTGGCCTTTCTCCTGGGGTCGTGGCCTTGCTCCTACTGTGCAGGAAAAGAATCTAGGCCCTTCCATGTGCATGTGGGGGCCCCGAAGTTCTTGTGGTTCCCCACTAGGTCTCCGGGAGAGGGCATGAACTGGAGCCATGGGTAGGACTGCCAGCACCCAAAGGATCACCTTCGAGGCAGATGAGAATGAGAACATCACCGTGGTGAAGGGCATCCGGGTTTTGGAAAACGTGATTGATGGAATAAAGAAATCCTCTCCATCTGGCTCGAAGTCTCAGTGGTATTCTGGTGCTTATGGTGCCTCAGTTTCTGATGAAGAATTGAAAAGAAGAGTAGCTGAGGAGCTGGCATTGGAGCAAGCCAAGAAAGAATCTGAAGATCAGAAACGACTAAAGTAAGTCAAAGAGCTGGACCGAGAGAGGGCTGCTGCCAATCAGCAGTTAACCAGAGCCATCCTTCGGGAGAGGGTATCAAGCGAGGAGGAACACGCTAAGACAAAGCACCTGGCTAGGCAGCTGGAAGAGAAAGACCGAGTGCTCAAGAAGCAGGATGCATTCTGCAAAGAGCAGCTGGCTAGACTGAAGGAGAGGAGCTCAGAGCTCTACAAAGTCACCACTGAATGATATCAGAAAGCTGCTGAAGAGGTGGAAGCAAAGTTCAAGCGATATGAGTCTCATTCAGTCTGTGCCGATCTGCAGGCCCAAATTCTTCAGTGTTACTGTGAGAACACCCACCAGACCCCCAAATGCTCCGCTCTGGCCAGCCAGTATATGCACTGTGTCAATCATGCCAAGCGAGCATGCTTGAGAAGGAAGGATAAAAACTTGGAACAAGCAAAACACTGTTAACATTAATTCCAGAGATGGAACATTTTTTTTCCTAGTAAGAAAACAACCCATTTGAAGAGAAGACCACTCATGAGAAGAACACTAAAGAGAGACACCAGAGAATGGATTCAACAGAATCATACCGCATTTTGAACAGCAGCACTTTGAAAGGCCAAAGCCTTGACCAGAGATCAGTCGTTAAAGGACACCCTTCAGTGTGAGTAAACCCTCTTATGATGATTGAAAGAGAAGGGCAGCCCTCTCCACCTTTTGGTACTTTCTCTTCTGCTTCCACTGACCATAAAATGTTTCTCTTCTGAGCAAGCCCCATCATTTGGTGAAGGTCCACCCTAACAAAGTGTGATGGGGTAGGGGGCTGAATGAATTGGAGTGGGGTGAGGAGAGAGCCAGAAAACGTAGCTCTCAGGGCAGCAGTGAGGGGTGGAATTGTCTAGGCTACGGGATGTTCATTTTCTCACTCTCTCTTTTCTCCTTTGATTATATAAGAGCAGTTTCATTTTAACTTATTATGGTGATCATACAGGCAAGAAGCAAAAAGGAGAGAAAATATACCTGTTTTACTGGAATAATGTTTATGATTACAAGTGAGATAAGGTATTTTTATCAATGCGAAGGCAACTTTGGCTGATATAACCTCTATAGTGAATACTGACATCTTGACTTCACTCACTATCCATAATAAGTATATTTTCTGACAAAAAATGAAACAAAACAAAACAAAACAGAACTTTGCAGCCTTTCAGCTTTTTTTTTTTTGTATAATTGGCCATTTATGTAAAAATGATAGCTCATTATTGTTGCAGATAATACTGATGAAAAGCTGCTCCCTGGGGTAGGGTCTGGGGGCTTCATTCTTTCTCACATCAAATTACAGTCTCCTTCCTATGCTCAAACACCACACCACATGGACTGTTTCTCCAACGTCCTGTATTCAGAAGGGGAATATTCCCTATAGCACCTTGTGGGGGAGGATACTCTGGTTGAAATCTGTCATTTTCACTGTTTGACATTCAGTGATTGTTTTGGTATTTGGAGTTCTCAAGACAGGAGGAAGATAGAATCTAGCTTGCTCTTCTGAGTAGGAGGAGGTCTGATTTCCACCTCGCAGTGCTCTGTAAGTTGGAGGTATGGATGTAGAGTATCAGTGGATGTAGACTAACTGTGCTGGCAGATGGGTAGGTGCTCCTGACTAGGACTTGAACTTGAGAGAATGATGAAAAGGGTCAGATCAGTTAGAGGTAATGTGTGGTTGGATGCCAGACAGGGTGCGGTGGAGGTTAGGGTAGGTAGCTTTGTCCAGTGATGAATGTTCAGAGGTAGCAGTGTGAGTGGTAGCAGTGGAGAAGGTCCAAAGGTGATGTTACCAGTGGTGGCAGCCTACACAGACCACTCTTGTGGTAGGCTCTTGGCTGTGCCTCGCCTTTCAGGGTTCCTGTCCCTTCTAGGTCCTCTAGGCATCTATTCTATTTTATAAGCTACCAGATACCTTTCTAACACATTCTTTTTCTCCTTAGGTTAAGAACCCTAACTTATATATTATCATTGACATCTTCTTCTTTTTTTTTTATTAAGTTGAAATGGGGTCTCACTATGTTGCCCAGGCTGGTCTCAAGTGATCTTTCTACCTTGCCCTTCCAAAGTGCTTGTATTACAGGCAAGAGCCACAGCACCCAGCTGACCCTGACATCTCTATTTCTCAGGCTGTAGACCACGAGGTTCAGCATGGAGATCACAGTGGTGAAGAGGATTTTGTTATAGGCTGAGGCACTTTCAGGGTTGGGTAGAATGTATGCAAGGAACACAAACCCACAGAACAGGCAGAAAGCAGTGAGGTAGGAGGCATGGGTAGAGAAGGCTTTGCACTGGCCATCCGGGGACCTCATCCCTCAGATTAACTGGGATGTAAGTGTAAGAGACCAAGATGACTGAGATGGTAGGGACAGTGATCAAGGCAGAAAAGACTAACAGGATCATGTCAGCCACGGTGGTATCTGAGCAGGCCAATTGGAGCATGGGGGTGGGGAATGTGAGAACACAGTAATAATCAGTGAAGTCAGGCCACAGTAGGGTGAGATGAATACATCCCATCTATAGCTGAAACGAGCAACTCCACAGCAGAGGTGACCACCACCAGCTGGACACATAGGCCCTTGGACATGATGATGTGCTAGAGGAAAGGGTGGCAAATGGCCACAACTCAGCCATAGACCACTATGGCCAGCAGCAGACATTCCCCTGTGCCATGGAAAGTCATGAAGGCCACCTGGATTACACCAACTGCAAAGGAGATGGATAGTTAGTGGTGAGAAAGTGGGCCAGCAGCACATGGAGGAACTGCAGATGTCCAGGAAGGAGAACACACTCAGGAGGAAGCACATGGGGGTGTGGAGGGCAGAGCTGGAGTGTTTGTTTTTTTGGACAGGGTTTCTCTCTCATTGCCCAGGCTGGTGTTCAGTGACAAGCTCTCACTTCACTATAACTTCTGCCTACCAGGCTTAAGCAATCTTCCTGCCTCAGCCTCCCAAGTAGCTGGGATTACAGGTACACCACTATGTCAGCAGGCTAATTTTTGTATTTTTTTAGTAGAGACAAATTTTCACCATGTTAGACAGGCTGGTCTTGAACTCCTGACCTCAAATTATCTGCCCACCTTGGCCTCCCAAAGTGCTAGGATTACAGGTGTGTGAGCCACTGTGCCAAGCTGAGATTTTTTTTAAAAATTTATCCTTTTATTATTATTTTATTATTGTTATTATAGTTTAAGTTCTGAGATACATGTGCAGAACGTGCAGGTTTGCTACCTAGGTATACATGTACCATGGTGGTTTGCTGCACTCATCAGCCCGTGATCTACATTAAGTATTTCTCCCAATGCTATCCCTCCCCTAGCCCCCATCCCCCAACAGGCCCTGGTGTGTGATGTTTCCCTTCCTGTGTTCATGTGTTCTCACTGGTCAACATCCACTTATGAGTGAGAACATGTGGTGTTTGGTTTTCTGTTCTTGTGTTAGTTTGCTGAGAATGATGGTTTCCAGCTTCATCCATGTCCCTGCAAAGGACATAAACTCATCCATTTTTATGGCTGCAAAGTATTCCATGGTATATATATGCCACATTTTCTTTATCCAGCCTATCATCGATAGGTATTTGGGTTGGCTCCAAGTCTTTGCTATTGTGAACAGTGCTGCAATAAACATATGTGTGCATGTGTCTTTATAGTAGAATGACTTATAACCCTTTGGGTATACACCCAGTAATGGGATTGCTGGTCAAATGGATTTTCTGGTGCTAGATCCCTGAAGAATTGTCACACTGTCTTCCACAATGGTGGAACTAATTTACATTCTCACCAACAGTATAAAAGCGTTCTCATTTCTCCATATCCTCTCCAGCATCTGTTATTTCCTGACTTTTTAATGATCACCATTCTAACTAGCCTGAGATGGAATCTCATTGTGGTTTTGATTTGTATTTCTCTAATGACCAGTGATGATGAGCTTTTTTTTCATGTTCGTTGGCTACATAAATGTCTTCTTTTGAGAACTGGCTGTTTATATTCTTTGCCAACTTTTTGATGGGGTTGTTTGTCTTTTTCTTGTAAATTTCTTTAAAATTTTTTTTTTTTAACTATATTAAAGACAGGGTTTCACCATGTTGGCCAGGCTGGTCTTGAACTCCTGACCTCAGGTGATCCGCCTGCCTCACTTTAAAATCTTTGCAGATTCTGGATATTAGCCTTTTGTCAGATGGCTAGATTGCAAAAACTTTTCTCATTCTGTAGGTTGCCTCTTCACTCTGATAGTTTTTTTTGCTGTGCAGAAGCTCTTTAATTAGATCCCGTTTATCAATTTTGGCTTTTGTTGCCACTGCTTTTGATGTTTTTAGCTATGATGTCTTTGCCCATGCCTGTGTCCTGAACAGTATTGCCTAGGTTTTCTTCTAAGCTTTTTTTTTTTTTTAAATAAATATTTCATTGTGTTTTAGGTTTTGGGGTACATGTGAAGAACATGCAAGATTGTTGCATAGGTACATACATGGCAATGTGGTTTTCTGCCTTCCTCCCCATCACCTATATCTGGCATTTCTCCCCATGTTATCCCTCCCCAACTCCCCATCCCCCACTGTCCCTCCCTTAGTTCTGCCCCACAGACCCCAGTGTGTGATGTTCCCCTCCCTGTGTCCATGTGTTCTCACTGTTCAACACCCGCCTATGAGTGAAAACATGTGGTGTTTGATTTTCTCTTCTAAGGTTTTTATGATTTTAGGACTTATGTTTCATAAGTCTTTAATTCATCTTGAGTTAATTTTTGTATAAGGTGTCAGGAAGGGGTCCAGTTTCAGGTTTCCGCATATGGCTAGCCAGTTTTCCCAACACCATTTATTAAATAGGGAATCATTCCCCACTGATTGTTTTTGTTAGGTTTGTCAAAGATCAGATGGTTGTAGAAGTGTGGTATTTCTGAGGCCTCTGTTCTGTTTCATTGGTCTATATCTCTGTTTTGGTACCAGTACCATGTTCCTTTGTTACCGAATACATATTTGAATACATACATATTTCATATGCATACTACTTAAGGTTTTTGAAACATTTAAGAGGATCTGCTTAATTTGACTTGAAATATTGAGGATGATTACACTGAATTAACTAAATTTATGTTTGATTTGACTCTGCTAAAATGCAGAAGATCTTTTGATTTACTAAATGTATATATATTTTTTTCTTTTTTAAAACATAGAAATGGGGTTTTGCTGTGTTGCCCAGGATGCTCTCAAACTCCTGGAATCATCAAGCACTGCACCTGCTTCAGTCTCCCAAAGTGCTGGGATTATAGGCATGAACAACCATGCCCTGTGGTGTATTTTAATTTTAGTAAATTTTCAAGAGTTGTTTAAGTGCTCATGGAGACATCTGAAGGGCTTGAGAAATCAGGTGCATTAAATTCATGATTATAGTTTAAAAAGTTTAAGATAATATAATTAGTTAAGTCTATAAACAGAGT